TTTCTTTTGTCTAAGAAATATTTATATAAATAAAATAACTTTATGATATTTATCTATTAAGTAATATGTTGTGTGTAATACTTCCAGTATTACACATAACATAATCCTTCGAAACAAAAAGCATTCAGACGTTTGCCAGTTTGACTTTCTTACATATTAGTGTTCATTCAATTAGTATGCTGTGAGTTTAAAGAAACCTATGAATGTTTGTTGTGCTACAGTTAAAGTATAGGGTCGGGCCTGGGAACGCCACTTATGGTTTAATTTCGGATACACAACTACTTGACTTTCAATGAGATTTTTAACCTTGCTTAAGCCTGTTACCGCATTGGTTCTAGTTTAAGTGATTTAACATTTAGCTGAAAGTAATCAAACAAGTTTATTATTTCATGTATGTTCCACTTCAATTTGCTAGGCATATATAGAAGGCATGATATTTCAAATTTAGTGGAAGCCTCACCATAAAGAATTACCCTTCTTCCGAGGATATTCGATCGGCGTCCGTAGTGCATTTTACCCGCCATCTGCGAGCGTACTCATCGTCAATGATGTCTGCCTGGGTAAATCCAGTGGGTAATCAAGGCGATCTGATAGTCTGAAAAACCTGAAAACCATTTTTAGTCGCCATGTGCATGAGGCAGGTGACGGTTTAAGATTCTGGATGAGGGTCCTGATTTTCGTTCAGTAGTCAGAAGCTCTGGCATCCTACTATGGCATTGTTCTCCACCAGAAAGTTACTTAATACTGCAGTAAATGAATCGTGGGCAGCGAAGTTTATTCTAGTAAATAACTCTTATGTATTATTGTTCACCCACACTCAATCTGTTATTCTCAGTGCTGACACAAGGCTAGTGTGACTTTAAGCTTTCTCTTTACTGTATTATTGTTTTTTTGTGTTTACTGTTTGTTCTGAAATGTATTCGTTGTTAGCACTTTATATAAAGTGAATGGCTCGAGACGAAATCACGACACTGGGTCAAGAACAGACAAGACTCAATTAAGTTTAGATCGCTTAGATAGGTCTTTGACCAGAACGAATAAGAACAATGAGCTTTGAGAAATATTAAGTACAGATTTAATCCTGTATTTTATTAATGTGGCGTAATTTTATACTTTTAAAAAGTTAAAACTGCTATACTAATCAGTTATAGTTATATAATTTTTTTACTAATGTATATAGTTATAGTATTTTACATCATGTTGAACAACAACATCTTGGCGTATAAATCTGTTTTGTTATATTTAACTTTACGTAACTGTTAATAGGTATATAAAACGTTCGTTAAAACTTTTATTTCCTCATCCGTGCAACATCTGTTAACAAATTTTGCCTCAATACGTCAGCTCGAGCAAATGATATCCAGAAATTAACCTCGTTTTCCGTAAAAATATTGATCGTTCCGATCGGATTAGATGGGAAGTCTTCGCTGCTAGGGTAAAGACCGAAATAAACTAGCTTGCTTGCTTTGTAGGTATGTACGTAAACAGAGCAATAAACGTAAACACGTATGTACGTTTGTAAAAACATTCTCTCACTCGAATGCTTTGAGCACTATTGTTTGTGAGGCATTACAACACTCTTACATGAAGATACGTATTTATTTATAAAAAAAAAAACAACTATTATTCCAAATGATGCTAGGCTCGGTAAGATGTAAAAGGGTGATAGTTTTCCTATACCGCGGTTTTTGTTGTTAAGTTAATAAGAAGTAATATATGAAATCAAGTCACGAAAAGGGAAATGTCTTAATTTTGGAAGGAAGGAAATTTCATTTCATTTAAATCTCAGCCAACCTAGATTAAGTTGCTAAATCAAATTGTCCTGTAATAAATGGAATAGTGTATTATGACAAGTTATTATTGTGCTATAGTGCTACTAGAGAAAGCGAACTCACGAATTTTGGCCATTCAGAGTCCACTGTACAGAAGGCAAGTCGTGTCCTGCGTTTGAAATAAACCGTTTAACAACTGGTTTCGCGGAAGGCGGCGACGGCACGTGTGCCGCTTGTTGCACGCTGGCTCAAAACCAATTTACCTTTTAGCGCTTAGAAGAGTAATAAAAAAAAATCTTTATCACATGTTTTCTCTTTCAGTCCTAGGGACCTTTTAAAACGATTTCTCATTTTCTAATGATGAACAACAGTCCAGCTCTCTAACATAAGATTGAATCTTTTGACGTTTCAGCAACGTTAAAAACTTTTAAGGTAGCCTCTTGACCGCGATTCCGCACAAGCAAAACTGAATTTAGAGGCTCTCGAATTCTATTCAATTATTATTGCTTTGTGCTATAGAAAATCTGCTATTATTATTTTATAGATTCCATGTATGCAGCTTTATACAGGGTGGTTTTTCTAAGTGTATCCATATTTTTTATTAAATTCTAGAAATGATAAATATTTAAAATCACTCTTAAGTAATTAATTACAATCATTTGAACTTATCTCAAAAAGTGCGTGATTTATACGCAACTCATTTATTTTACGCATATTATTCATAACTAACACGTTCGTGCACAGTAAAATTTAGGTATTTATGAATGACTACCACATTGTCAACACGTTCTGTTTTTTAGGGAATGGAATGGTAATTTTTTTGGAAAAAAAACTTTGTCTTTTTATTTCAATAAACGATTATACCTACTACCGAGTCTGAACCTCCTGTGTAAATTTGGGCACTTCTCCAAAAATCTCCCTGTATATTGTGAAAAACTTAAGCGTTAAAATTTGTTTTTTTTTTAATTATCGTTGATTATAAGCAAGTAAAAGTAAAGTAAAAAGAAAATTTCAACTGTGTAAATATTACGGTTCATGAGATACAGCCTGGTGACAGACGGACAGAAATACAAACAGCGCAGTCTTAGTAATAGGGTCCCGTTTTACCATTTAGGTATAAGTAAAAAAAAAAAAGTAACAGCCTAAACAAGCTGCTGGGCAAAGGCCTCTGTACAGAGGGTATTAGGGAATTGTCCACCACACGGCTCCACTGCAGAAGACGCACTACACATATCTTCAAAATATTTTTTTTTATTATTTCTCAAGGTCATCACTTAAAATTAGCAAATTCATTGGTGCCGACACCGGGGATCGTTGAACCGGGAACTCTGGTTGCTCGAGTGTATTAAATTAGAGGCAAGCGGACTGAGCTATGACAGCTTTAAAGTGATGTGTTAAAATTAAAAAGCTTAATAAACAAATCTTACTGTTATATCAGTATAAACGAGTGGCAGCTTGGCTTTTAATTTAAAAAAAAAACAAATGTTTATAGAAAGCCACGGCGTGGCGGGTTCGTGCCCCTCGAGCCGAAGTCAGTCACATCGCACATGTTGTGGCCACGAACGATCAACAAATAATCGCTGGCCGGTCGCCGGAATGCGAAAGAGTCCTTCCATTAACCGTCATTAGTGGACACGACTCGGCTGCCCCCGCTACCGTCTAATGAGGGATTTTTCTACAGTCTTCCTTGTTCCGCGTGTTCTCGGTAATTGCTTGCCGGTTTGTTTGACTGTCTCCCAGATAAATAGATAGAAATATATAAGTTATATGTAAATGCATAACGAGATACAGAAGTATAGAAGATGCTTATGAAAGACTATTGTGTCTGAGATATATAAACACAATATAGGTTCCTATCTTTACAAGTGTATTGTTTCAATGCTCTGGTAGTAATTACGATGAATTTGGATATATTCGGATATTATTTCCTAATATATTAAGAGCTACAAACTACACGTTACCGTGTATGAGTATCATTATGCATTTATAGTGATAAGTGAGAGATAGAGGCTGTTGTAAAAGTTTCCTACGGATGTTTATGTTATCATAACGCTACTATTCGATGAAACTTTTCCATAACAATAACAAGTTACCGGGATGAGGTAAACATTAATTTGATAATCGATGAGCATATGGCGCGCTTCAGACGGACGGGATATTTGCGATCATCATTATTTCTGTTATGACTGGGTAACCTCTATTAAAGTGACCCCATTTGTAGCGCAATTTGAATGATGAACGCATACGATCGATAATGCGGTAGAATTATCGATCGCTATGTGTTTAACGGCAAATTAACGTATGAAATAAATTATGAATATTGACATAGCTTTTTACACTACTTATAGCTTCAGATTATATAATATATAAAAGCTTATGTGACATGCAATGACAATGATATTTTATACTAAATAATTGATTTACAAATTGAGAAACCTCTTTCTTTTTTGAAGTCGGTTAAAAATAATATAATTAGATATGTTCCGACTCTTTTTATATTAAAAAGAGTCGGAACATATCTAAAAAAGAAACGAGGATTAGTTAATTATCGAATGAGCATAAATAAGCATTTTATTGCAATAAAAGCTGCAAGTAATTATGTATTTGAAAGTTAATCGATATAAATAATCCAAATTCTTTTTTGATTTTGCAAATATTTCCGCCGATTATGAAAGAATTAAGCATCTTCCTGACTTTGGTCGATCTTATGATTTTGTTGCTTTATAGTTTCATAATTATTAAACAGTTATATTTTAATAGTACACAAGGATCAACACATTATACTTAAACTATGAAGACAATATGTGTGCGATCATGACGTTTAATTGTGGGAGTTATTTTCATGTTGACGGGTGGCGTAACAGTAATATTAAGAAGTAAAAGATAGTTTTTAGTTCCTATCGTGGCCAATTAAAGTCGAGAAAATCCGCAAAGCATTTTTGCTAAAATTTTGCTTTATAAATATAAGTTGAACTTTTTCGATAGAAATTTACATCATTATTATTATCCTCATTTCACGAAGTCCACAGACTGTAACAACAACGATCCTGAGCCACCTGGATCCATTGTCTTACTCACATTTTCACATGCCGTTATTCCATTTAGTGCAGAGTCGATCTTACACAACATTAACTTTGTTTCCTTCTCCGTATACAGAAAGAGAAGTAAGATGTCGGGACGCTATTTCGAGGGCCGCTTTGTCGAAATAGCGGGTTGAAGGTCACGAGCATGGCGGCTCCTGCGCACGAGCACTATCGGCGGGACGCTGAGCTCCGGCCACAGCACTCGAGAGACAGTTCGAGGGATTCCGGCATCTTCCACACCACTAAAGGCCTGTGGAACGCTCCGGGCCTGAACAACTGCTTCCTGAACAGCGCCGTACAGGTATGTCGCGCTTTTAATATGTTAGAAGACAAACGTTAATAGGAAAATGTCAATGGGTGGCGGTTATCACTTAACATTGGGTGAACCGCCAGCTCGTTTGCTACCTTTTCACATTAAAAAAGGCATTTGTTTCTATAAAAAAATTCATTTATTTATTAGGCCCACTTAAATTTTTGTCATGGACACAGAATGTAACATGCAACTCGTCGTGAAATACCTTTTGTTTTGCAAAAAATTTTGATGCCAACTAAGCCACTAGGTCATGCGGCCGTCATAAATCTCAGATCTGCGGAATAGCAGAAGCAAATGGGACGCAAGTATTAGGTCCTCGACCTTAATTGATTAATGAACGCCGAGTAACGTGGTGTAGGCATAGTAACCGATATGAGCAAAAAACCTATTAGGTGTGCCGTTGAGCCGAAGGTAAACATTAAGAAGTAATGGCATGAGAGGACAGTATTGGTTTGCGGCACTCATATCTCCATAACGGTGCACACTCGTTTCAAGCGACCATCTTTATATCACGCTCAAACGGAAATGTAGCTTAATATGTTAGAACTAGAATCCAATATTTAACGCCATAATGAATGATGTCCACTGGCAATGCCAAACGTCAGGGGTCGCTCGGCGACGTGACTTATTAGTTAATAAATAAACAGGATTTTTATTACCGGTTCGGCTCCAAAACTGTTTTTCAACCTTATTTCTTACGCTCAATAAGTTCGATGTCGAAGAGGCCGATTCAATTTTTGTTTGATTAATTATCATTAATAAGTAACATATGAATATAGCTTATCAGAATATCTGTTTACCCATTAAAGCTTTCCGTACGTGATAGTTTAATCTAACAACACAAGTTTTAAACAACGTAAACTAGTGTCACATTCCACACTTGCAGTCTCATTTCGATGATACGATCACAAAGATTACGACGTGTTTATGCGTTGTCTTCTATTGTCTTTGTGTGCTTCGTGAACTGCGGTCCTCGCATAACAATAACTGATAGGGGCGTATTAAAGTGCTCTGAAGCCGGTCGTTGCCCCGTCACGAAGCGTTCTAAAGACGCGTCGATTCAAATTCCTCGGACGTCGTCGGAGTTGATAAATCCGATCCAATTTACATAGGCGTAATTACAACGCGGTACAGCCGTGCGCGCTCCCGACAAAAACGCGATCGTCCACGCTGCACGTGTAATGGCGTGCCATGGGTGCCGCATCAAACTTACATTAACACTGTACTAGCCGTACAGAGCTAGCTACCGAGAAATGAGACGTCACTAGTCCCGAGCCAAATGTACATACATTTGGCTCGGGACTCTTGTCTGTTTTCAGAACAGTTAGCGTTTCGAATTTCTAGATTTTTCTAAATCTTTATAGTGATCCTGCGCCGTGGCTTGCGCTACGTGTCACGCGTTAAAATTCCTTGGCCACGGAGCGTCAATAAAATTGTCCTGGTGCATTTTTTGAGCGAAAAAATTTCCCGGGAATCCGTGCAGAACGATCCGCGACAGGCGTGAACTACGGGCACGCGCCAGGAATGCGTGAAATACTCGAAGCCTGTGACGGAACGGGACACAGCCTGGACGTTACGAAGAGATTGCGGATCCTCGCACTTGATGGATTACTGCGCTTTAATGCGCGCTAACTGCGAACTGATGGCAACATTGAAAGGATTCATAGGTCGTTAACTCACGACGTTTGTGTAGTACATTTATGGGCTTTTAAATGTATGCTGCAGTTCATTCTCGGAGCGGCAACCTCGCGGTATTCTTATTTCAAATAATCGTCTTGAGCTAAGTATAATGTATGGGTAGTTGTATAGTCTCATGCTACATGCAATAAATCGATTGTCAGGCTACGTATCACTTTCCAGGAGAGGCTAAACCTTTTTATTACTTAAAAAATTTTATATATCTTTAACGCGCCCAGACGCTTTAACCACAGCGCTAAACGGCTGATTGCCATGCCGCCGAAATCTACTCCGTTTTGTTGCATTTCAAGCTTATACTTGGTGCAACTATTGCTATGTTCCTTACAGCAATTCCGGAAGACGAGAAATCAAAAATAGGAAATAGGCTTAAGTACTTATATTCATATGAATTGGCTGGTGGTTGACTAGCATCCATTGTGATGGTGATTGGCAAATTGTCACCATTATTTTAATGTAATTAATACAATGCAGATTTCCCTCAAAGGTTGAATACAAATAACTCCCTTACTGTTGAGCTACATCGCAATAACAGTGATTTGCGATACGTCTGAGCTTACCGATGACGACGCAACTAGTTGCAAACAATAGAATTCAGCCTGTGAAGTTTTCGACACTATAACATGTACAATTTCTTTTAATTCTTGAGAAACGCCAAGAGTGTAAGATGTAATTAAACCTAAAGTTATACTTCTATTTTAGTGTGTTAATATTTAGTGACTTTAATACCACACATTTAATACCACATGTTTCAATACTTCTTATTTGCTTTATTTATTTCATAACACATGAACGCCCGAAATTCAAGAATCTAACTTTGCACAAAACTAACAATACTCTAATCCGTATGTCAAAAATTACTAATAATAATAAAAATTAATAAGCAGAGGGTCGATGAACTTCAAATTGTGATTGACGTCACCTCGTGATAACAACTCTTCTTTTCGTGTTACAACATTTTTAATCACACATGTATGCACTTCTCCCTTAAGCTGACACAACCAGTGTTGCCTAATCTACCTCTTCCCGTCTTTAGTCTTATCTATCTTTGATACGATGCCACCATTCACGTGAGCTTATTCTAATTAGGTGATAAATTTCAACAAAAGTAAGATATGACTCTTAAGATGTTTGCTCGATATATAAAAATAAAAAGTAAAGCAAAGTAACATCCCATATTTGTCTCAATGCTGGGCAAAGGCCTCCTATGCTCAGATGGTACCTATCAGGTAATCCTAGTCCATAGTCCAAGCAACTCTACGGCGAACTAGCAGACTTCACATACATATCCACGAAATATTTTTATTACTATTTAGAAAATATGCATGTTTCCTCACGATGTTTTCCTTCACCGCTGAGCACGTGATAAGTTAGCACTTATTGCTATTTACGGTTTCAATAGTGCTGGCACCAGAATTCGAACTTAGGTTGTTCGAGTGCATTCATTTAAAAGCGAGCGCACGGACGATGTGTTATCACGGTTGTGGATGCATGCGAAGCATTCGCAGTAAAAGTACACTAATAAAAGTTCTAATAGTGCACTCCCCAAACATAGCCTACATTCCTCCGTACCCATCCTGTTTCACCATCAAAGAATTACGTTTTGCGAAGAACCACGGCGGCGTTTGATTTCAAAAGAAGTTTACTGACGCCATCGTTTCCACACGTTTCCGAATCCGTTTCTACGTATAAACAATTGCCGGGACTGGTGACCCAAATGCGTACGCGGGAGCAAGGGAGTGCGTCCGTCGTAACGTAGTGCGGCAATCTCACAACTTCGCCGGTTGCTTACCGCCTTGTCTTTCCACCTCACGTAGGGGAAGTGATACGTGTCCAAGGGAAAACAGACGCAATCGCGTTAGGGCTCTATAAAGGGTCCGCTTTTGCAACGTTCGTGTCTCGCGAGTTTTTGTACAATCCCCCTTTAAATAGTTGCGCGAGCGCTTGCGCAAGCGATACTAGTATCGGCTTTTACACATTCATATGTCCATTGTTGACAAATGTGGTGCGCGGGTGGTATTCTCCTGCAGCGGCGTGGACTTCTTTTGATGTGTGCGTGCGTATTAGTGCCTACATATACATCGTAAATCAGCATTAGTGGCAGCATGACTCAATTAATGATTTCATTGATGCCGCCACCGGGACTTCAAGTATGATGATTTAAAAGCGCGATCCAACACAATAAAGCAGAGTAGGGACAACAAAACAGGCGTGAAAAATGAATGAAATTATATAGTTATACAACATACAATACAGAGTTGATGAATGCTCGCTCGTTACTTACACTGAGGTTTGACTGAGCGTTCCATTCAGTTTGATAAATGCACATCAACCTCTGTGGTAGTAGTCGTATAATTTGGTTACTCTTTGTTGTCAAATTCATTGCGCATAACTCAAGTTTTGAAATTATTACGCATTTGAGATGACTTAGGCAAGTAACACTCTCATTGTGCCAATTTGGCATTAAATTATCACTAATGCCATGGACCACATGTTTCAATACTTCTTATTTGCTTTATTTATTTCATAACACATGAACGCCCGAAATTCAAGAATCTAACTTTGCACAAAACTAACAATACTCTAATCCGTATGTCAAAAATTACTAATAATAATAATTTGACTCGCAGTTTCATATAATTTCTAGAATAGAATTTATTTTAATGAAGGCACCGTAATGCCATAATATTAAAGGGATGTATTTAAAAGTATGAAGAGGTAATTGGTGAATGTTACAATGATATGTAACTAGAAAAATAATTTACATAACCCGCTGTTCTAAGAGTAATTTTAAATGTCAGTGTATGAATATATTGCATGTTTTAATGCAAATTGTCAGTTTTAAAGAGAACAAGTTTTAATTAGTTAAAATGCATCAGAATCCATCGTGCATATTAATAAAAATATAATAAAAAAAATTAAATGAACTTTCTGATGCCTTTTTTTTTAATTTAATAATTTAAAATGAAATAAGTTATATAAATAATTTGATTTATAATATAATGATAAATATAAAATATTTCCCAAATTTTAACTAAAACAGCAGCTATGTAGTACCTTATCAAGGGGGGTGAATTTATAAATATTGTAAGATTTTTATAGAATTAAAATGTTTTTAAATTTTTAGTATGTTGTATGATAACACTATTCGTGATAGTGTGTTGCATAAAACATATTGTGATATATGAATGATTAATGAATGATTTTGGTCAAAGTATGCTTTAGTAAAATGCGGGCCTCGCACCTCGTCTACCTCGCCTAGCTCGTTCGTTGCTAGTACACATATATTCATATGCCTAGGCTCTTAATTTCGGGCACGTAATCAGTATCCAAGAGCACAGTCGCGATGCTTCGTGAATCGCCACACGGGTGGTGAGCGGCGGTGAATATGAAATTAAACAGTCCGAAGCGGACAGACGTAATGCGTGATTTATTTATGCAGATCGACTCCTGTGGGAACAAAGCGAGCGTCTCTATTTGCGACGCACTTATTATGCTCTAGAGTTAAAGAGAAGTGATCTAAATGTGGACATTTACTAATATTAAACTCCTATTTATTGCACGCTTGCTTTTAGCTTATTGCATCAGCTATTTAATTTGATATAGATAATTTAAACCGGAGAAAAGTGTCTTATGGTTAAATAGATCACATAGGCTAACTTCGTTCCAAATTAATTATAATATATACACACTTTATATTTTTGTAGTGATGTAGTGTACTAGTGATACTTTAATATTTGTGTGTTTTAAAGATTGCTATACTCTACAATCCTCAGGACACATCTGGATATTATATTGGTAAAGTTGTTATTAGCGCTAATACTAATTATTATAGCTAACTATCTTAATTATTCTGATTTATTTTCAAATCCTACAACAGATTTGCTGCTCTATAAGTGAGATTTTATTAAATTAATGAGGTTAATTATATAAATATTGCTACAAGCATACCCAGCATCCACTGCAATACCACATAAAGATAAAAGTGTCTACAATAGTTTTTAGTTTTTATATGGAGGAACGTTATCTGTTTTGTCCTCAAACCCTCACCACCACATCACACGGATAAATGGTTTAAATACACGAAGAAATAATAAAACTTTTCTCTTTTTTTGTAAAGAAAGACAAGAAGAAGATAATAGATATAGATATATTAACACAAAGGCATTCCCGGTCACAATTCTAACTGGTTTATGTTTCAGATCATTTGCTATTGACTATTGTTTCGCCTTTGTGATTAGCTGCAGTATAGAATATATATTAGAAGCAATATGTTTCAATCATGTTAACCGTATTTATATAGGCACTCGTTAACGCAATGACTCAAGATTGATATGACTTTAAGATGACATTATGATTTGTACTTTTCCGATTAAAAATCAATAACGATGCGTGTAGGTTTTTACCGTCGTTTGTAATAACAAAAATGTATGTAATGTGAGCGTTTAATGGCGTTTATAAACAATTAAACCAATGCTGTTCTTACATAATTAGGTTTGTAATGTAAATAGTATGCTGTTGAATTATAGTTGAGTACATTACTTTTATATATATTTTGTAGTTGAGTACTAATTTTTACCATGACAAGGGTTGACTGGTAGAGAATACCATAGGCATTAAGTCTGCCTATTGTAGCCGTTAGTTTAAGGTGTAACAATTAAATAAATAAATCACTGGTTACCATTAGATTGGATATTATTCAGTCCGTAAGCAGTTTATAACTACGAAATAATTATATGTCATATTAAGATTCATTAAATTATTCATTTTGTTCGCTCGGTTGACGATTCTTGCGCGGTATTAATATTCGTATTCGTACATAGTATAAAACAAAGTCGTCCCGTTGTCTGTCTGTCTCTATGTATGCTTAGATCTTTAAAACTACGCAACGGATCTTGATGCGGTTTTTTTACTAGATAGAGTGATTCAAGAGGAAGGTTTTTATGTACATAACATTGCACCCGTGAGAAGCCGGGGCGGGTCGCTAGTATTCGTATAAGCTGCAAATATTTTTTGGGATCCGAATAACTACATTACATATGTTCATTTGGTGCACGCTGGTCGGCGACACAGGTTCATATTACATCGCAGTAAGATTGCTGTATTAAATTAAATATTAATAAAAGGAAGATTTTGGCTTAAGGTTCAAATGTATGAGGAATTAAAACTTCAGCGACTTTTTTTTTGTGTGCATATCTTATTATTATTATTATGATGTGATAACTTCGACAACAACTTATGTTGGCGCCGTAGTCTTGTCACGTGTTGCGTGATGAATAATTCATTTTGTTCAGCAGGAACCTACAGCAACGCATACACAAATATATATTAATGAAATCTATTTAAAGTTATAAATACGGGCAGCAGTAATTTTATGTTTAAACAAACGATTAATAAAACAGCACGAAAAATATATTTATTTAAATATGGTTTTTATTAAATAATAACTGAAATATACTTAACATTATAATACTTTATACAGCGTGTCGTTACCATCGGGACAATAAATGAACACACGTCTAACGCTACTTGCCAATAATCATAAAAAAATATTAACGTTAAACAAAATCCATAATAAAAAAAATATTTTTCAAACAAACTAATTAAGTAAAAGAGAAACAAAATTTGAAACATCCTATATAACTCGCGCCACAGCGTCGCATTACAAGCCTCCTCTTCTAACAGTATGTTTTGTCTCTTTTAAATTTATTCAACCCATTCATATGCTTTGTGACCTTTACAAATGAACTTTACGTTACGCTTTTATAGGTAAGGGTGTTCTAAAATTCTTTGTTTTGGAAAATTTAATAACTCTGTAAATATTGATGTTTAAAGAATTTAAATGTTTAATACAACTTTAAAAAGTTATCCCCTATATGTGTGTTCATTTATTGTCGCGATGGTAACGACACGCTGTATATTTACCAGATATAAGTTTTAACTTTTATAATAAGATACAGCGGCAAAGAAGTAGTTCATTTATTAATTCGTTCTTTCATGTAAGAGCAGACTGATGATACTGTGCAAAGTAGTAGTAGTAGTGTAAAGATTTTCTTACGGTAGGGCAAAGCGGCCGTTATTTTCTTTGGCAAAACGGGGAAGAGAAATCAAGAAGAGGATAAATTTTACGTCTTTGTACTTCTAATCTTCGATCTGTGAGCTGATCGGAGGCCCATGCTCTTGAAAGGTTGGAAACGCATCAGCAAACTCGCCCTAGGGTGGTAGAACTGAACTGATGAACAAAGCGACAGTCCAATAGTATCTTGTATTAACTGATTTAAACTAAATCACTCTATTATTTGAACTGAATTAATAAATAGAATCCTTAATAATATTATAAATGCGAAAGTTTGTATGTATGGATGGATTTTTGTTACTCTTTCACGCAAATACTAATGAATCGATTTTAATGAAACTTTACGATACTATTGCTTATACGTCAGAATAAGACATAGGCTATAATTTATATACATATTTTATGTATATCTGTCTTTCTGTCTGAATATTACGCCTTCAGCCTATTCTACGTGACGTAGTCGCCAATGTCCAACCATTCGGTGAACGCCACTTTGTGTAGCTTGATGGAGGGGACTTGGAGACTCGGTGGCGCGATCGGTGCAACTTCAGACGAGTCATTAGCATGGAGTCAAAAACTCCTAAAACACCCATACTCATAAATAACCTGCGACATATAAACTAAAAAGTAGTTTGTTTCAGTTCACCCTAATGATAATGACTTAGCCGACGCCGTGACCCAGTGGGGCGGAGCGTATAGCGAGGCGTCTTAGCACGGTAGCGTCACGGGTCGCCGCCTCCGGAAGGAACACGCCGTGGGAACCTCGCAACCTCCTGTAATTCAATTTCTCGATGCGCCCATGCCGCAATTAGTGGACGAATCCACTTGTCTAGGGTCGGGATCTTATCGCGTTTCGTGAACCGAACCAGCTAATGGTGCAGGTGTTCGCGTAGGCGTGCATCGGTTATTCTCTTGTTAAAATATCGCGCAAGTCTTCTGTGCGGTTAAATTATGAAGCTACCTTTAAAATTACGTTATAAACTTCACTTTTAAAAGTGTTTTGTAAAGTAATATATAAAACGTTAAATTGTTCGAATAGTAACTATGTAACGGTTTTAGGGGAGAAATTTTACATTTCGGGACATTGACCGGATACAGTAACCATAAGACGTCGCGTAATAATAATTCTGTACAAGGGTCAAAATTTAATTCAATTAAATGATTTGCACAATCGATGTTGCTCAACATAGAATCTCGAAAGGCACTCTAAATACACTTAAATTCATTTGTGAAATTCATTTTTTACTCGTGCAATTATGAGGTAGATGGAAAGATGTTGATTGCGTGATAAATTTTTGCCTTTAGAAACTATTTCTATAAAATCAAGTCTTATGAAAACGGAAACCGACAGATTGACAAATTATGTCGTAACATTAACGTTTTTCGGTCATCACGTTAATTCCGAATGATGGACCACCGCGCTGGGACATCCGGACTTGTCCGTTTCGTTACGATCTATCATCTCCAATTACTGTGTCTGCACTAATGTTTTAATAATTGGAATATGAGTATCAAGCTTTGTACGTCGCGTACTAATCGTGTTTTACAAATGAATTGTGAGAAAGTTCGCCGTGCATACGCTCACTCCATTGTGGCCCGTGCATACGGGGAAAACGTGTGAGAATCGAGATCTGGATCGATGTGATGTAAATAAATGCTAATGCGTCCGGAGGTGTGCTCCATAAATTTGTCAGAGCACCGATTGCTACCCGTTCTGTATTTAAGGAAAAGAAATCCAAAGAAAGAGCTATTTTTGGCTAACGATCAATTTATACGCAAAATTAAAAGTGAACTTATGGCTAAGGCATATTATACCATTGCGGAATATCTTGAAGACGCCAATGTGTGGGGTTAATACTGTTGATACTCACGTAGGCTAAAATAAGGCATACCTGTTCTATTATATTGTAAACTAATCCTTTTAAAAAATAGCAACTGTTGAGTTTCTTGTCGGTTTCTTCTCAACAGAAACTGCTTTCCGAACCGGTGGTAACTTACGAATTTATTAATTTTTATGTAAAATTTTGACATTTCTGATTGATTTTTGATTTTAACGATTGAAAGCATATCGGTCATTATTATTGCTTATTATAACAGTACAAGCATATGGTTAAACGAAACTATTTTAGGGATTTTCATTTCACTGTGTATAGTATTCACGTAAACACAAGAGTACAAGCGTAATAAAAAATCTAAAGTGCTACTTTCTTAACGGTTATAGGTGTTGTACACATTAAGTGGTAAACCTTATAAAAATACTGTTGCGGTGAAACGTTGATACTTTTTTTGTCAAAAAACGCTAGTTTCACGCCATTGCGTCTACAAGGCGTAAAGTTTATTGTTTAAATCCACCAGTTCGACCCCACGTTTGATCCCCGTTTAAAACATTAACCGCTCTGCTGGCCGTTTGGTTACACTCGTCCATCAATGGACTGTGGCCTGAGGTGGCTTACGCAATGTTTTGTGTTCATTAATCGTCTGAATCGTCAGCTAAAGTCAAATTTAATTGATATTACTCAAGTTTAATTAACACTCAATAGAAATCAGAGAGCGAATTCTTTTGGATTGGATTAGTGTAATTAAATAGATGTTGCACTTATTAATGACGTATAATTGTTAAATAATATAGAACTTAGCTTATATCTTTTTCGTAACACAAATATTTCACAAATACTCCGAAAAATAACGGCATTAAATTATCGGCCTCTGACACAGTAACTTATAGTTAGTTGCTAGCGGATGCAGAAAAAATATTTTGTTTCTCTATTCAATTTATATCGCTCAATGCTTAGGCTTTCCTCCATAGAAGGGCAATGTATTTTAGTAATGTTTTGCTACTAAGGCAGGGTGCATGACTTTCCGCTCTCCGCGTCCACTGCGTCGCCACCCCCTCGGCACACTTGGCGCTCGCTGAACCGCGACCCCGCGACCCGCGACTTTTGATGAGTCATCGCTCTTGAAGGATTCGGCCCGACCTGTGACTAACCGCAGAAAAAAACCCCACCATTGTTCGTACCAAGCCGCTCGTAATTCGTCAGCCGTCGTTCCTGCCGCCTTTTATAGCGTCTAATTTCGACGGCGCGTCGTTATTTTTTAAAAGCTCATCGTTTGCGACTTTTACGTGCCATATAACCAAGTTACGGTTGCTCGGGCATCTCCGTTGGGAAACGTTTTGTTTCGATGCAATGACAAATAACAGTCTACTCTATTGTTTAAAGACGTTGCTAGCAATTTATGAAAGGAAGTACTATACTTTACTAAACTAACGATTTTGCTTTTAGTCAGTAGACTATTATAGCTTCATCTAACGCAGAACTCCTGGGATATCCGAAACCAACGAACTTAAACGGTCACCCGCATTGGATAAGGCCGTGAAAGGATTGTTTCATTAGTTTCATCAGTTCTGTACATAAAATTTCGGAGCAATGATGCAAAGGTGTAACACGAAGTGCGGGAATCAACCGGCAGTTACGGTAGCGTAACAGAAAAAATCTAATCTCGTCATCAGAATCATAGCGGGGTGCGGTCTCGGGAGCGAAGACGTGTGGGAACGGCAGTCAAGCAAGACCGCTCGGCCATGGCTCGGGTAGCGATCTAATTACTGGACAGCTTGGTCAAAGGTTGCCAGCACGCGGCCCGCACAATTGCATACAATTATGATTACAATGTGCTATGAGAAAGTTCGAGCTTTTGTTTCGATAATTATTGAAAGAGCGCTACGGAATGAATGAGTATGTAGCGAGGATGTACCGCAAAGTATTTTGCCGTGGTTCGTGGAATGAACGATATATTATAGGCGGTAAAGTTCACATAATTATTCGCGATAACGTATTGATTTTTAAATACCATCGAGTACTAAGTTTTTTAAATGTGAAAAGTTAGCGAGCAGGCGGTAAATGATGTTAGGTGAATACCGCTCCCTATGAACATCTAAAACACTTGTGCGCTTTCAGATTCATTGAAAACCTTTAAAAAATGATGCTAGGGTTACTCACTCACCAGAACAAACGCAAAAGTATAATACTTCCATTTTACGTTAGTCTTCTGTGGGGCCGGACGGCCATTCGTGTGATGGCAAAAGTTGACGAAAGTTGAAGTAAAAGCATTAACGTAAAAACGAATATTGAATGATCTTCTTAATGATCAGAATGATCAATTCTAAGAGTTTAACCAATCTTTTGGAAACTCAAATGGCATTTGAAAAACCGTTTGACAGCTGATTAGTTAACATTGACGATGATCAGTGTTTCATAAACCGGGAGTTAGTGGCCGGGAGGGTTAGGGATGTCATAGGAAATATAAAATGATATCAAAATAAAGATGCAACAAAGATATTCAATTCATTTAAGAAAAGAATACTTATTCAGTTTTCGTTCTGCTCGATACGATATGCTCATCGAGTTGAAGTCGATATTTATCAAAGTTGAGAGTCATAAAAGCATTTGTACAGATTTATTGCGGAGGGATAACTGTGGGATCGCGGTCAGTTCACACTTCCCGCTCGAGCCTAAAACTATTACTGCGTTGCGGTTACTACTGTTTGCGCGCTACTTTTATCTAAATAAAATGTAGCTATAAAATTAATTTCTTATCCTTGCTTAATATTATAAACGCGAAAGTTTGTGTGTATGGATGGATGTTTTTTACTCTTTCACGCAAAATCTATTGAATAGATTTTTATGAAACTTTACAATAATATAGCTTATACATCAGAATAACACATAGGCTATGATTTATAAAGATATTGTGTGAATTGTCCAAAATATAATAATATTTCTGGTGTAAAAAACTCATTGTTAATTCTCTTCGGCCGCGCGGCCGAAGCGAATTAACAATGAGTTTTTTACAAGTAAAAAGTATTTTGCCGTGGTTCGTGGAATGAACGATATATTATAGGCGGTAAAGTTCACATAATTATTAATATAGCTTATACATCAGAATAACACATAGGCTATGATTTATAAAGATATTGTGTGAATTGTCCAAAATATAATAATATTTCTGGTGTAAAAAACTCATTGTTAATTCTCTTCGGCCGCGCGGCCGAAGCGAACTTTATTTTATTTTTAATTTAAAACGAAAACTTTATTTTTAATTTTCTAACTATAAAACTAAGAGGTCAATTACTTTACGGCGTGAATATCACAATGTCTACTTTCTTTATCCCATTTTTATCAATGCACAACACACACATAGCACAACTGTTGTTCGAAGTTAAAGCACAAACTTCAGTGTTCGAAGAAAGCAAGAGTTCAGACATAGATACATTTAGTAGTTTGACTAGAACTAATACTTTCTATGTAACTATACTTTTTATGTGAAATAGTGGACTGATGGAATGTGGTTACCACCGTCGATCTAAAGAACAGATGCGTTTACAACTTTTCTCTCACTCACCTATACGAAACGCGAATGTATTATACTTCCACTTCACGCCGATTTTCTGCGAGGTCGTGGGTACTTCCTCGGACGAGCTTACCCGTTCGTGCAAAAGCAGAAGCTGATCCGTGGCTCTACCATACTTTGCTGGAAGATAGCACTTACTGATTAAGTTAATTGAAAAAGAAAACAATAAGGTATGCTTTCTTTTAATGAACTTTTACCGTCGATTATAATTTGTGGCTGAACCTTTGATGGATACTTATATTTGTATGGAACAAGAGAACAGTCTCTCGACTTGGCGATTCTCCCACGAGAAGGCGCCTGCGCTAGTCGGCTATCACGATGTGTGATCGCCGTGGGAAGTAATAAGGCCAGTTGCGCTTCATAGATTTCTTATTATGACGGCTTAATAAACGGTCCCATAAACCTGTCGCCTACAACAAGTGGCAACATTGAAGTCAAAGCTTCAAAACCACGAAGTGAAAACAGCCCGATTGCGAGATTTTTTTTTAATCAGAATTCCATATTTGAAGTGTTTACTTTTACACTGCTACCGGAACGTTATATTTTTTTATTTTATCTCAATTAAAATTAATTTTGTTAAGCAATTTAAATTCAATTTATTGATAAAGATTAATTTAATTCACTTTCTTGTATTAACTGATGTTTGTGCTTTCAGTCCAGAGACTATTAAAGCTTCATCTGACGCAGAACCGGTGGGCTAGCCAGAACCCACGGGTTTGGGCCCTCCGCTGTGGGTAGGGCCGCGCATGTGCTCATGCGTGCGTTTAACTACGGCATGTCATCTAAGGGCCATCGAAGTAGCGGTGCGGACCGAGACCCCGATGGCCGTCGACTGTGTTTTTAGCTAATCGGTGGCTGAGGGCGGTGAGAACCGCCCTGGAACGCGGGTGTACCTTGTGTACGCGTTGTGTTGGTCTCGCCGTGCTCGGAGGCGAGGGCGAACTAATGTGTTTGTTGCTACACTAACTGTGTGTGTAGTGTTATCCGGCGGGACCCCCGACGGTGGGTCCGACGTACCTAAGTCCCCTTCCTCGACCAGGTCGATGAGGACGTTTCGCGGGCGACGCTTGTTGACGCTCGCGTTTAGATCGGGTTGGTAATTTGCTGCGCTTACCACCAGAGGGTTGGGATGATGTTCGGCTCTATCGAAGAACCGTTTGGTCAGGTCTTTGAAAAATTCGCGAATCATCGGGAGTCTGCAATTACTGTGCAGGTCGACGTTGCGTTGATACCACTGCGCACCGGTTGCGCGGTGGATGAACTTATTTTGCACTACTTGCAACTTGTGCAAGCGAGTAGGGTGCGTGTGGGCGAAAATCATGCATGCGTAGGACATGATTGTACGCAAGCTTTGTATAAAAGTAATTTGTGTCTTAAGGACATTTTACTTGACTGGATAGTTAAAGTGCTTAGCCGGCCGGAGACGAACGCGGCTCTGTTACGGACGTTATTAATATGCGCTGTGAATGACATACGCGAGTCGGAAGTGACTCCTAAATATTTTACCTTTTTCTCCCAGGGGAGCGGTTGGCCATAAAGAGATATTTGCCCTAGCTTTCTGCATTGGCGACGACCTTTATAAAGATGTGACGGGTAAGTACTTCGTGTGAAGTTAATCGCCACACTCTTTTCGGGATTTACTTCAATTCTCCATTTGCGGAACCAATCGCCGAGGCGGTTGGCGGCGCTTTGGAGTCGAGTGGTTAGTTGACTAAGGTTGCGGTCTGAATAAAAGAGCGCCGTGTCATCCGCGAAAAGCGCGAGATTGACGTGGGGGTCTTTTGGTATATCGCTCGTGTAGAGCATAAAAAGTAAGGGTGAGAGGCAGGAGCCTTGTGGAACGCCAGCCGTGAGGCAGCGGCTAGTGGATAGGGCGCCTTCAACTCGATATCGAAAGGAACGGTTCGACAAGAAGGCCTGAATGGTGTGTACAAGCCTGTCTGGCACTTTGAGTGAGAACAGCTTGTAAAGCAAGCCGTTGTGCCAGACTTTGTCGAATGCCTTTGCGACATCGAAGAAAAGAGCCCCCGTTTAGGTTATGCCCGAGCCATGTTTAGGGTGATTTAGGCCTTTTAGGATATGTTCCGTTAGGCGGTATAATTGATCGGGACAGGAATGTCTTGCTCGAAAGCCGAATTGTTCCGCCGGTAGAAGGCCGTTGGAAAACACGTGGTCTTTGAGCCTGTTTAATAGAAGCCGCTCGTAAAGCTTCCCCAGGCAACTAAGGAGGCTGATGGGACGATAACTAGAGGGCTGATTGGCTGGTTTATTCGGCTTGCGAATGCCGATAACCGTGGCTTCTTTCCAGTCATCCGGAAAGGAACAACTGGAGAGTAAAGTGTTGTAAATGGTCGCCAGTAAACAGATAAGTGGGCCAGGGAGAGCTTTAAGGATTTTATTACTAATATTGTCTGGGCCCGGGGCGGATTTGGGTTTTAAATTTTTGATAATATCTTGGACCTCTTCGGGGGTCACTGAGTTTAATGGATCGCCTTCCGGTGGAAGCGCAGCCCTAGTTTCGATAACGCGGTCCACCTCCGTTAAG